CATTTATTTAGCAGTGACTGAGTTCGTCCACCAATGGCTACTCTTCTTGTTGAGTGACTTTTTTCTCTCAACTGCATTTTTTTTCACCACGTTCTGGCAAAAGATCTAGGAAAAATAATCTGTAATTGGTCCTTTAGTTTAGGACCATACCTCTGTAAATAATTTCAATATTAAAATTTTCAATTATCATTGGAAGGTGTGTTTTCTGTTTATTGCTGGAACTGTGACTTGTTCAAAAGAGACTGAAGACATTCAAAACAAGGAGAAAAGGGCTGATAATATGATAGCCATAGAATCCTTGCCTGGCATGTGCAAAAAAGAAATAAACAAAAACAACAAACAACAAACTCATAGGTAGAATGCTTGATTAAAGGAGAAAAATTCAAATAGTTTTTGATTTTGAGGATATATGAACTTTTATTTGGGGTAAAGGAATCAAGAATGAAAAAATAGAAGAGTCTTAAAATATATTTCACAAAGTGGAAAAAATTAATTGGTGGTCTTGTTAATTTTAAAGTCTTGGGAGATTAATTTTTCATCGTAAATTTTATATCAAGGTTCAGTTTGACCATAAAGTATCACAATTTGTTTAAGTATTTTCTTCCAAACACAATATAACAATTCATCATAAATCAATTCTACACTCTAGTTATTTCTTTATCTTTATTCCATCATAAAAATAATTATAGAATATAATGTTTGCATTCTGTAAATTATGTTTTACATTCGAAAGTATTGGAAAGTCTTTATAGATATTTTAAGTAATAAATTCCAGTAATCACTGGCCATAAATCATTATTTGGAAATAGCACTTGGATCCTAAACATAAACTTTGGAAGAGTATTGGAGAAAAAAATAGACATCACTGATAAAATGTGTAAGTACTAATCCACTGTGCAAATTCATGTCCCTTCTGTTGGTATCCCAGTATTATGCTCTCCTATAACACAATGAAATTTCAACTCAACAAAAGATGAGACCTCTGGTTCTTGTACATGTTTGCTCTATATTAGTGAAAATGTAAAATTAGAATGAGGTTATCCAGGAAGGTACTTGTTTGGCATGATAAATACTATCAAAGAAATGACTCATCAGGTGTATTCAGATAGGCTGTCTCTGGTTTAGAGGCAGCACTTCAGAAAAGAGCATGCTCTGGATTACCCCCTTTTCTGTCTGTCACAATGACCATGAAGCCTTAGCAAGATGCCAGCCAATCTGACTAAAAGGGAGAAACTCCACAAGAGAATGTTTTCTTGATGATGATGATGATGATGATGATGATGATGATGATAATGATGATGATGATGATTTTGCCAAATATCAACTCCCTTCTTCTGAAATATACAGTCTATGAGATGAAAATTAGGAAACTAGTGCTTGAGTGAAATGCTGGAAACAGTTCAATAAATAATGCTGTTACATAGAGCAGAAGCATAACTACAGTAAGCAGCTTTAAAATGGGCTTTATATATATGATAAGTAGCTGTTAAACTACAGCCTTCTCAGCAGTTCTAATTTTCTTTTTGCATGTGTCTACAGGATACCTGTAAATAAAAGGATCCTAAAATTTACTCTTCACATTTTTCTTTTAATTAACTAAATAGAGTCTTACATGGGAATACCACTTGTAATATTTTTTCTCTAGGAAACATAGGTATCATCATTTTGAAAAAACACTGATTACTTATTCCCCTAAAATCAGCCACATCTCAGTGTTAGAGTTTATGCAGCATTCCTCTTGAACCATCACACTGCATGTTTGTCATCTCCACTTACCATCACACTATGTTGTAATACATCTGTATGCTGCTCTTATGTGTTTCTATGTGTGACGTATTGCTACACATAAGTACATGCATACATAAATAGTAGATAAAGACATATATCACATGTATATATAAATGTGCATAACGTAAAAGTGAATACAAAACCAAAAACAAATTATTTTGTTTTCTTTCTATTATTTCAGAATGAGAAAAGTTTCTTGTATGAAAATAAATGACATTTTAGCCCAGAACATTTTTTTTTTCATTTAATCGTAGTGTAGATTGAACTCTTCATATGTTGATAGAAAATAAAAAAAGGGAAAATACTTTTATTTATTTATAGTTATCATTAAATAGTTAGTATAAGTTTTTTTTTTCCAGAAACTTAAGCAGATAGTCAATTAACTCTTCTAGAAGAGATTTAGGTCCTAAGGAGGAAATGAAGCATACTGCTAAGTTATAAGCTAAATAGTAAAAAAGGGGCATTATGTGAAGATTTTCATTTGTTTTGGTTTCTTTTGTTTTGTCTGATTTCCATTGGTGTTGCTTGTGGTATTAAAAGAGCTTGTCCCTGTTTCTTAAAAGACTGGACAGATGGAGCCAGGATATGTCATATGTATGGGTCTAGGATTGTCCGTGTTGGTATTTTTAGTTTTTCTCTAGGACAAATACTCTGGTGGTTGTGTTTGATGTTGTTCCGGAAGTAAGCATGTTTACCAAATGAGCAGACCTGGAATGAGATTCCAAAGCTGCTAGTATCAGTCCTGTTCTTCTCTGCCAGCATCAAACAAGGAGTTGAAACAAACAGATGGTCACTTTGGGCAAATAGACTAATTTTCCTCATTTTAACCTGACTTTTTATATGTACTTGGTACATTCATCTATGTAATATTTTTCTGAAGTAAGAATTAACTTTTCTAATTTCCTTTAAGTTATCATTTTTTCATAAAACGAGTTTCTGATGGGTGGAGGGTATTCACGTAGGTAAATTGTCCCATGTCTAGAAACAATAACAATGCAATTGCAACCAAGACACTAAATAAACTGTGTTTAATAGGTTGTTTATGAAATTTTCCCATTACTTTATGTCGTCTACTTAGTTCGGTTTCTTCAGCTAGGATGGTGAAGGGATTAAAACTCAGCAGCCAGAGATAGTGTCTTAGATTCAAATGCCACTACCTTCATTTACTAATGTTTTCACCTCACCTTTATTAGGTTTTCCAAATTTTAGTTTTCTCAACTGCAAAGAGAAGTCCCCTATCTTACAGTAAGTAGAGTTTTGGGAAATACTAAATGAATTAAGGCACATAAAGTCAATATCCTTGTGCAGAATTCTCAACCTCAAAACTATTGATATCTGCACCTGATAATACTTTTTATATGATACAAGAACCTCCAAACACTTGGAGAGGCACTGGCCTAGTTCTGAAGCCTGTGCTTAATAAATATCAGCTACAGTTATTGCTGAATAATTGCAAAGACTCTGCTATTTTTGAAATGCTTATTGGCAAATTCTTAGAATAATTTTACATTTTTCACAGAAATTAATTGAATCTCTCAAGGACTGAGTTTAAAAAGAAATGATTGATTTTTGTGCCCATATTTAATATTGAAATTACTTCCTTTGCATCTAAAGATATACAAATTCAATATGTTTCAGCACCTCATAATTTTTTACATTTTTTCCCAGTTTCCCAAAATACATATAAGGGTTAAAAACTCATAATGATCACCCATCCCCATGATCCACCCAATTGTTAAATTTTTTTGTGGCATTTATTTTTATTTCTAGAATAAAAAAGAGAAGGAAATAATTTGTATCAATAGTTTAAACATGATTCATAATGGTAAACTATTCCTTTCATTCTATCTAACTCCACTTATCATTTTAGTGTTTGCTCCATGTTAATAAGAATACACAAATCAGTAAGTGTATACATCTGGATGTTTACATCAAAATTCAAAACATATCAAGTGTGCACATCTGAATATTTTAAGTTTTTGTATCATCATATGCATATTATCTCGTCTGGGGTATGTTTCTGGCTAGATGTGAAGAACAGTCAATAAAATAATTCACCATCTATTTAAAGGTTTACCATTTAATTCATTGTATGTCTACTTTATCTGAATTATAGTGAATTATCTGATCACATTTGACATAATAAACATAACAAATCAGTAGATTTAAAATGAATTTCCCCAGCATTTTGAAAATAAGGCTGCAAATCCCTAAAATCAGCAAATTTAGTTGGTACTGAGCAGTCAAATCTAAACATTCCTTCTCAATTATCAAAATCTACATAATAAAAAAGAACATATTACTGGAGTCATAGATCATCTGTCATTAAAACACTTAGAAATATTAAAAAGTAAATTTGAAAATACAGAAAAAGGTATTATAATGTTTTTATATATTGGAGAATTTCTATCTTCTGAATTCTATTATTTCTTAGTTTTGAGAAACTGGAAGCACAAAGTAAATTATAAAACTATATAAAATCATTTAACCCCAAAACATAAAACAGGGTTTATTACATCTTATTTGCCTGATAGGACCCTGTAATCTCTTGAAGGAAAGATAAATCACTTTTGTGATGCTCAATTCATTGTTCATGCCTATAATGAGGGCATAATTATAATTTTTAACCTGTAACTACAGAGTTTACAACTCTTAAATCTGTATAATGTTTTGTTATCTGCCACACTTCTACCCTTCGCTCACCTTGCAGGTAAAATAAAGCTCATAAAACCTCAATGACTTAAATGATTTATAGTAGTTTCATAGTAGTCAATTTCTAGGTAGCAGATACATTTCATCCTTGATATTTAATTTAATCATTTTAAATGTAGAAGAGAATTGGTCAATAACCTTTAGAGTTTAGGATTAGGATTTTATTTAAGAACAAATATATATATTCTCCCAATTTTGAATTTTAAAATGTTGGATGCTATTTGTTTCTGGTGAAGCAGCCTTCCACTAATGGTGAGCAGGTTCATATTTATTTTCTTCCCAGAGGTTGAACCAAGCTAAATCTGAGCAAAGTGAACTCCTGAGCCCTTTCTTGCATTCTCTTAACCAGTAATAAAGAACCTTGCAGGCCTGACAGGTTGTCACAGCAATTATTCACATGAAGTTCTGTAGCAGTTGTATCTGTCAGCCCATGTAGTATTGAATATTTTAACTGGCAGTCTTCCAAGACTGAACATTAATCTTACCATCTCCTATTACAGTCCCTAATCAAGATATTCCAGGGGTGATTGCACTAACATTGTTTGAAGACTACATCTACTGGACTGATGGGAAAACCAAGTCACTCAGCCGTGCCCATAAAACCTCGGGAGCAGACAGACTCTCACTGATTAACTCATGGCATGCCATCACAGATATCCAGGTGTATCATTCTTATAGACAACCTGATGGTAATTATTCTTTCCATGATTTCCATAAATGCATCAACATCTTTCAGTAACATTCCATTTTTTATTCTTTCAAGGTTAAGTGTAATTTTGTTTTGAGAAAGATGACCAGATTATACATTTTAGTGTTATTTTATATGATGAATTCAGCTGATATCAAGTACTGCTATTAAGGGATATGATTAGAACCTCAATAATAGCACAAAGAATTATTGGTTTGTTCAAAACATATTAAGCTGAAATGGCAATAACACATACTCAGAAAAGTGAAAATTACATACTTGAAATAATTTGTTTACAACATATTTATAGGATTTTTAATTTCTGGAATGTTGGATAGAAGGAAATGTATATATACATGTATATACTTATAATATATACATTCATATATAATTATATATATATACATATGTATAATTATAAGAACGCTAAGGTTCTAAAAATGACAAATCAACTTTACTCAAGAGTATTTCCAATAGAAATTGTATCAGATCTTGTGGGAAAAGTATTGATAATTTTATTGACAATACATAACTGGACTAGAAAGCAAAGTCCCTATACTATTGGTTATAAAGCATTGTTTCACTGTTTTATTTTACATTTGTATTTTTAAACATGTATGTCTTCATCCACAGTGCTAATGGTCTCTATTTAATGAAAAATTTGTTTGCTACTAATATGCTTGTTTTTATAGAAAGAAATCTTTAAATGTATTTAATATGAAATTAATATTATTGGACAATGAGTAGCATTTATAAGAAACATATTCATAATCTTGATGAGTTCTTGCTTACAAAGATTTATTTGAATTTAAGTTATGAAGATTAAAAGTCTTATCTTTATTCCCATGTTATACAATTTGTCTTGATTATTTTATTTTGTTTTTTATTTCTCATTTGTAGTCTCAAAACATCTCTGCATGATAAACAATGGTGGTTGCAGTCATTTGTGCCTCCTAGCGCCTGGAAAGACTCACACCTGTGCATGTCCCACCAACTTTTATCTTGCAGCTGACAACAGGACTTGTCTATCCAATTGTACAGCTAGTCAGGTGAGTGGAGGTCTGGAAATCATCTCATGGGATATATGGGCAAGTTATTATCAATGTTTTTGATGAGTTTGCTTATGTACTTATATTATTTTTTGTGTGCTTTTGTCTAGAATGGAATGAATGTTCATTCTACACCTTGTAGAAATGATCACAGAGTAGAGAAGGAAACCATATAATGCATATTTTCAAAATGGGACTACGGAAGCACTAGGACATGGAGGTCAAAAAGAACCAAACAAAAATAAAAACCATTTTTACCCAGATCCATGCAGAATAATGCTCAAATCTTAAATGGACCTAGTAGAAGCATCAGATATTTCACATAATTTAAGAAGACAAGATGATTGAAGCACAGGATAAACAAGGGTGTGTGGAGTTTAAACAAATTTTATGAATCTACTCCACATCTCTCCCATTCCTCAGAGATGGTGACATGAAAAAAATTTAAAAATTATTAAAATGGTTCCCTTCTGAAACCTCTATTTTATCTTTCCAACTTTAATTTTTTAAAAAATATTTTCTAGAAAAACTTACGTACATAATGGTAGTTGGATGAGTTTAATTTTATTATTTTCAAATTATAGACAATAGTCACAAATATTATTAAATGGCACTTTGCTACATTTGAATCACTATCTTGTTTGGGATAAAATTGTTAAATAAGCCTCAATTTGTTTTTTTTAATTAGTTTAGTCTTATAATTTGATGCTTTGAATATGCTGTTTTTCCAATTACTAGTCATGACTTCATGTCAAGAGCGTTAATTCTCTTAGAGTTTAAGTTCAAAATAGAGAAGCGAATGCTAACTCAGCCTGCTTCTCAGATTAGAACTGTATCACACATAAAAAAATGAAGGATATCTGGCTTTTCCCGGGGTTAGCATTTGTGTGGCTAAGAGCACAGATTAAAGACAAACTCACAGGGATCATAATCCTGACTGCTCTAAACTGGCTGGATTACATGGGGTTGTTACCTAACTTCTTGGTGCCTCAATTTTTTCATCTTTTCAATGGGATGATAATTGTATTAAGTCTGATATTTAACAGAATAACACAGACAAGGTAATTTATAAAGAACCAAAATTTCTGTGTCACAATTTTGGAGGCTTTCAATTTCAAGATAGAAGGGCTGCATCTAGTGAAAGCAAGTGGGAGTGGGCAGCAGGAGGGAATGGCAAGAGGACACATGTGAGACTGCTTGCTTCAAAACCAAGCTACTCCCTGGAAAACTAACCCATTCCCCAGACAGATAAACACATAATCTATTCATAAGATTGAAGCCCTTATGATCTTATCTAATGTTTTAAAGGTCCTGCCTCCCCATATTATAAAATGACAAATTTCAATATGAGTTTTGGAGGCAACATTGAAACAATAGCAATAATATGTTCAGTCCCTTGTTATAAAGATTAAATGGGAAAGGTTCCTGGTACATAATAATTGTTGTTATACACCTTGCCCTCTACAGCAACTGGAATACCCTGAGAAGAATATGGGTGCAATTGGTGTGGCCTGCTGTCAGGAGGTTCTGATGTCTAGCTCAATGCAGAGGTCACAGGCTTCTTTCTTCATACTATGTTGTTCTACTTATAACTCCCCGAGTATTTTCTTTTTTTAAAAAAATAAATACATCCTTTTAAAGAACTGAAAATTAAAGTCACTATGAGGTATAACATCGGTAAACTAATTAAGCACAAAATCATATCACTTTAATTTTAAAATATAATTCTCATTAATGTTATTTAGTTTAGCAAATTTTTAACTTCCAGATTATTCTGAAACAACCTTTGGTCCCTTTCTCTAGTGAGATCTCTGAGTCAGTCTGTTGAGGCCCACCCCTGAGGCTCCATGATTTGTGCTGACTTGGGAGATACCATGCCCCCTGTAGCCACAGTGTACTATGGTAAGCCATAATGGCCAACTGAAAATAGAGTAGACTAGAAGATATTTTGAAACACATTTGAGCATCTCCAACAGAAAGACACAGGTACTAAGGCATTGGCCTTACCACAAACGTAAAATGAAAAAAACTTTTCAAAATATTTTGTAAAAAACTATAATTATATTTATTCAAGGCCCAGAACATCTGATCAGTCAGTTAAATGAAAACCTCAGGAAACTCCAAAATAGTATTCATATAAAAATTACACTAAATATTTATAATTTTCAAGTACCTTCATTAGTGTTAATGAGTATAAAAATATAGCAAGACAGAACAAATAAAAAATGTGGAACAAATAATTCTGTTTATAGCCATACTTCTTTAAAAAATGTTATCATTTCATTTTTGTTCTTCAAGAAAAATGTTAAAAATGAACTACTAATCCATTGGAGATAACCCATTAGTATTTATCTCTGCAAGTGTTTGCTTTATGTACATATTTACCTCTGATTCCTTTCTGATCAGATGAGGAAAAACAAAAAGCTATGCTTTTTAACTTCTCAGAGAACAACCAATTTATAGAAGCACAATTTTTAGAGAGGTAGATATTTAAGTAAAGTGAATCTAGATATTTCAGAATCATACCATTAAATACTTTGATGAAAAATTGTTGTTTTAAATGTATTGTTACTAAGGATTGTTTTATCATCTTACAATTGCTTCCAATGATGTGTTCCTAACTACTATAGAGTTTTAGAAAAACAGGCAAATCACAGAAATAATTTTCTTAATATTAAAAACATAATCTGAGAATCTGGTAAAAACAAAATTAAATCCAATTCTTATAACACTGGTGATTATAGGCATTTTATTTAAATAATTTTAATCAGAAACAGTCAATTTTAAAATGACTTTAGTTATCTTTTATGTGGAGATCCTTCATGTTTCAACTGTACTTCACCATAGGTAGATTTGCATTTTATCCTCATAGTAAGACATATATATTTGTAGTCTCTTTATGGCTCTTTAAAATTTATTTTACTAAGATATTAGTCTTAGAGAACATTTACCATGAAGAATGTTTTGTATTTAGCATTAGTCTTTTTAAAGTTACTGTATTTAAGTATGAAAAAGTGAACCCCAGGCACAAAATAGAAGAAGTCTTTTTCAGACAATAAAATGTTGATTAGTATGAATAGTTAGCATAAGTATATTTTACCCTGGCTTCTCTTAACTCAAAAAACCATTTTATGTACTTATTAAAAATGAAATGGGGAGCAATAATCATGTCATTTATATTTCTAATAGTTGGCATTTGTTTAACTCAAGCATATTTAATGAATTTTAAAATTATGTAGTTTAGATATTTTTCCAATCTTGATTGGGAATGCTTTAAAGATGCACAGGAGACCTGAAATCCTCTTACTAATGTGCTTTGATATACTGTAATGACTGGAAATATTTAATGTTCAGGGCAATTGCTTTCAGATTCAGCCTCATATCCCCAGACAGTCACTATCTATAAAGGTAATTTTTTCCCTCTGGTAATTTATGAAAAACCACAACAGACATGACCACAGGCTAAGCAAACATGAGAAAATCAGTTGAATAGTCAGATCTCTCCTTGGATTCATTGTGCTTTATTCCTTCCACCTTGCTACTGGAAGAAAAATCCACTCTTATGTTTAATGTAATTGTATCCTGAATCACTTCCTTGCCGTCCAGACTGTTACAGCAAAAGCTAACATCAAATTCTCTCTCACTTGAAGAAAATAGCAGTATTTTAAATGAACAAACTCTTGGATTGGTAATCCATTTTTATCATTGATAATGGAACCAAGGTTACAGTTTTCTATTGCAAATTTTTGTTCTATATAACATGCTAAGATAAATGCCAGCTCTTCACTTGTGTGGGAATTACAGCATAAACACTTCAAAAAGAAAATTAATAACTTTTAGAAAATTATCAAACTAATGTTTTCAGTGCCAGATGAATATTATAATGCATGCTTTTCACTGAATTGTTATTGAAATGAAGAAGGGAAATCACTTAATGATACAAGAATAAATTGACTAAAATTAATTTCTTGCTTGGTTTTAACAATTTTAAATGAGTTGTTTAATTATAACTACTTCACATACATGATTGTCTGAACAGAAGTATGATTATCTTTAGATTTTCCTGCTTGAATGTTGCTAAGAAAGAAATTGATTTTGGGTCAGAGATCACTAAGGAATAAATTGGATTTTTTTTTGGTTACTGTATACAATTGGCCACTAGTGAATTTGATAGGAATGGTAGTATTTTACATTGGCTCAGTGAATGAATTTGGGTTCAGATGGCCTTCTTTATGAAAATAGTATGCAACTTTTGATGCAAACATAGCTTCTGCCCCAGAGGAAATGAGATAGCTTATTCTGAGTCGAATGTGAATGACAAAGGCCCAGGAACATGTTTTCATGTTACCCTGAATAAAATTTTCCACTTTGGAAGTCGTTACATGAACTGTTAAAGTCAGTGAATAAAAGAAAGTCACAAATCAAACAGATGCATTTACCAAATATGTTGGTGGGAGGCATTGGGTAGGCAGGCTCCAACAGAGCTGAGAGTTCTTCTGTAGGTCACAAGAGGTTATCTTATAGCATTCTTAGCTTTAGAATTCTTAATAGTTCAGGTCTGTTAAACTTAACAATACTACCAAGCTTTTATTCTTCCCTCCCCACCCTTATTATGTGGAAAGGAGAATGAAGGGAAGAGAGGGGAATGGGAATAGGAAAGACAGTAGAATAAATCAGACATAACTTTCCTATTTTCATATATGAACACACCACCAGTGAAACTCCACATCAGGTACAACTGCAAGGATGGGATCCTAATTAGAATAAGTTATAAATACATGTATGTATAATATGTCAAAATACACTCTACTGTCATTTATATCAAAAAAGAAACAAAAAAATATTTTAAAAGAAAAGAGCATATACAGAGGCTTTTACGTAGTAGTTGGGAGGATGTTAGGTCAGACACAGAAAGTTATTTAAAAGCTGAAAATAACTATCAACCTCTACTGTCTTAAAGAAGTATTCTTAATATTTATGTGGAGCAAATACCACTATGAGTGAAGGCAGTATTTCTATGTTCAGGAACTTTCCTGGAACCACAGCACAACAGAGTTGGAAAGGTACCTCCAGATTATCCTCAGCTCCTTCTTCAGAGGCTAAAGAACACAGGAACAGAAGATGTTAACAGAATTACCCAAATTTTTAATGAAACACAATTCAATTAGATTAGTTCAGATTAACTAAATTAATTCCATGCGCTGTCTCTTCCTGATATTCCTGATCCCTTTTGCCCTATTTGGTGTTTGGCAAATTTTCTGTAAAGGTCTAGTTAGTAAATATTTTAGGTTGTGGGGCCACAGGGTCTCTTTAGCATCTGCTCAACTGGGCTGTTGTGGAACACAGTGAGTGAAGTGTCTGTGTGCAGAGTCTGAATGGGTTTTCTTGAGCAATGTACTTTCCTGGCAGATCATTTTGCTATTTGTTGAGCATTTATTTACTATTGCAGAAGGTTCTCCGACTACCAACATTCACATCTGCAGCAAGAGGGTGGGTAGACAAGGCGTACTACACTCATGAGATACCCTTAATAGACACATTGGATTCTTCAACATTGTCTTCATTTTTTTTTTTAAGTTTCGTTGCAAAACTGATAAATGCATTCCATTCTGGTGGAAATGTGACACTGTGGACGACTGTGGTGATGGATCTGATGAACCTGATGACTGTCGTGAGTATATTGACAAACGTTTGAATTTAGAATTCAGAGTTCCTTTTACACACACACCTGAAAAATTGAAAGTATATTTTAAGTATTTTCTAATAGGTTTTTAAAATTGAAATAAAATGGTTTTATATGACAATCTTTTAGATATAACAAAAAAGTTGTAATGTTTTGGTGTGATTCTAATAACTGTCACATTTAGAATGTTAGAATGATATCGTCAACAATTTGTATCTTTTTTTTTCTTTTGCCTAAATCTGGTTATTTGTTGAAAATTTGCATTGTTTCATGTAGCAATTGATCTTTAACTTAATATGTTCCCAGTTTGGAAGCAAAAATGGGAATTTTTTTTTAGAATGTTTTACAGTGAATGAAACTTTCTTTTTTAGGGATTGAATGGGATCCTAATTAGAATTTTTTAACTTTTTGCTCAGTATTAAAATCCTGAAAATACTTGAAAGTCAGATTTTGTTTGCTGTTACGCAATTTATTAAATTGCTGTAAAGTAACTACAAATTATGTCTTCAGGGCATGGTTAGATTCTATCGTTTAAGCCATCGTAGATAACTTAGGTGGTAATGGACAATCAGCAGACTTTTCCTTAATAGCCTTTTGCAGTTCACTCCATAGGTCACTCCAATATTGTCCTGTCAAGTTGAAGATGCTGGTAGTCAATCCTGATAATTCCCTCAATATCCCAATGGATAGTTGCCTTGATTTGGCCTTGACAATTGAGTTCAAGATCCTAGGATTGTATGGAAGAAAGAGAGTGTTCTGGCATAGCACTGCTACTTTCAGCTGTAGAACTTTTTCCACTGCCTAATAATAGAGCTGTTTCAAATTTAAGTTTTCTAGAAAATTACTTGCATGAGCCATATTCCACTACTGGTCACTACCAAGTCTAACACACAATGGAAATTTTTTCACACAGTTTATTTCTATTTTTGAAAGCAATATTTAATCAACTCAATGAGAAGGAAAATAAGTTATAAAAATCTTTCTACTGTAATCTGTTTTTGAATGATTCAAAGCTCTCTATTTTAAAAAAAAATAGTTTTTATTTTCACTCTAATTGACAACCTATACAGAATAGTATTTGTATAAAACAGGTAAAAAACATGCCTGCATTATTCTTTCTTTAAAAAAATTACTGAATTAAAGAGACTATCAAAGGAATTGGAAAACATTTTGGTTTATATATTAAAGAAAGTTATTTTTATTTTATTCTCCACAATAAACTTCCCTATGTATAGAAAAGAATGTAAATACAACTTACTGTGGTTTATAGAAATTCCAAGATTAAGCATGTTAATTTAGGCATTGTATTAACATGACAACCTTCACAGCCAAGGTGCATTATTTTCTAAGAATATATCCTGACCCGCAACAAAGCCAATAGCATGCAATTGTCTTTCTTTAAAATGTTTGCAATTCCTAAACTATAGACGTTGACTCAAATTTCATACTGGAGCCATATTGATACAAAAAATTTACTTTTTAATTCAGTGTTTGTTTAAAAAGAGAGAATAATGCAGGCATAATTTTAACTAGAGATTTAATATAATGAGTTTCTAGCATTTACGCACTTTTAAATATATGATAATCAAATACTTTAATGTCTTTTGGCAGAGGGGTACAGACATTTGTATCTGAAAATTTCTATGTATGATCCTTATCCCAATCAAGTACTGATATTTACATGCTTTATTTTTTAGTTGATAAGTAAAAATTGTATTTATTTTATTTGATGTGTTTTTATACGTATATACATTGTAGAATCAAGTCATTAAACATGTGTATTACCTTACATAGCTCACTGCATCCTGCTCAGGGAGGGAAATAAGTAATCATTCAGAGGTGTGGGCCAGCTGGAAATAAAAGTCTGAAGAAGTAGTATTGTATTAAGAAATAAAAACAAAGAACTCAAAATAGTTTAAGTGGGGGCTTGATAGATGGAAAAGACCTGATGGGTCTGATCCTTAACAAAGAGAGAAAGCCTACCAACCTTTATTTTGTAGGGAAACACATCAGAGAAATTCCAATGGAAGGGTTCTTTAAGATAAACAAGAGGAAAGAGGCTTTGGAAAATTGGCCTGGTGGGGGCCTTATCACTTATGTAGTAATTCTTCCTCCTCCAGGAAGCTGGCACCTCAGGGCTACGAGGGTGCTCTGGTATTTCTTTCACCCAAGGTTAGCAGGCATCCAAATTCAAAGTGATTGAACTCATAAATTCTATGCCAGGCATGGAATAGATCCCACTAACAATGGCCACCTGCAAATGGGCATGTCTTTCTACACCTGCACATGTAAAGATTCCCACATGTGGCAGTCAAGCTGTCCAAGGCTATGGAGTTCAGAGCAGTAATTTATTTGCAGCTCCCGACACATAGCTACCATTTTTTTCCTGTTATGTTAACATGTAAAATCTATTATTAATATTTTTCAAGCATATAATATATTGTTAGTAACCATAGTCATTATGATGTACAATGTCTCTTAATGTTATTCCTCCTGACTTTTCCTTTTTGACTAATATCTCCCCAATCCTCCAAATTCCCAGCTCACTTAATGATCATTTTACTCTCTGTTAGATTTTTTTTTTCAGATTCCTCACATAAATGAGATCATATAATAATGTTTGTATTTCTGTTTGTTGTTTTTATTTCACTTAATATTATGTTCTCCAAATTTATGCAAGTTGTGACACAGGAAAAAAATTCATTCCTTATCAAGGTCGAATACTATTCTATTGCTTTTATATGCCATATTTTCTTTATCCATTTAAATACTGATGGAACCTTTATTGATTCCATGATATTGCTGCCATGAATAATGCTTCAATGAATATTGGAATTCAGATGTTTTTCATATCCTGAATTCATTATTTTTTTTTGGATATGTATACCCAGCAGTGAAATTGCTGAATCATATGGTAGTTTATTTATTTATTTTTTAAATATCACCCACTCTAATATATGTGAGGTGATATTTTTATTTTTTGGAGGAATGGTGATATTGAAACTTTTGGCCATTTTATTTCTTTCTATTTAGAATTGTTTAAGCCCGTAGAGCATTTTTTGAGTCCATAATTTGTTTTTCATATTGACCCACTTTTCTCATATTTGGGATAGTAACTCCTTTTTCAGATATTTATTTTTGGGTCATTTCTCCCATACCATAGACCGTGTACTCTTCTAGTTGTTTCCTTTGTCTGTCGTGAAGAACCATTTTACTTTGATGAAACCTCTTGTGTATATTTTTTCTTTTGTTGCTCATGCTTTTGGCATTAAATTTGAAAAAAAAAATTGTCTAGTTCAGTGTCATGAAGATTTTCCCGTATGTTTTCTCCTAACCATCCTTCACATTTCATTGATGGCATTATCTCTGTGGTCTTCAGCAAATAGTTTTGACTTATAGTTGATAGTTCAACATCTTTGAACATCTATTGGCATAACACTTTGAGAGCCATGGTGAAGTGAAGTGAAAAATGGCATATATGAGTCTGTGGAGTATTTATATTTCATTTTTTTGAGTAGCTGCATCATCAAACTATGTAGATGTTAAGAGTCCCTGATAATACCTATAACTTCACCTGAGAAGACAATAAAGCTTAATCTGAGAGTCATGTACTTGCAAATTTACATAATGATATTTATATAATGTAGTTAAGAGTGCTGCATCAAGAATTCCCAGACATCATAAGTTTGTAATTACATTCCCTATGATACTCTAGTACAGAAAGCATCATTCCACTGAGAAATATGAGGGTCAGATGGGCTCCTCAGTTATTTCTCAGCTGTTCATTTCATAGTTACAACCCCCTTGATGAGAAGGTTGTTTTGACAATAAATAAATATTAAAGAAATTTTTATATGCAGTAACAGCAAATTTAGAAATGCATATTTTCAAACTATGAAAACACAAAATATCAAACAGCTTAAACATTTAGAATGATTAGTTAACACGTTTTACAGATTGGGATCAAATAACTTTCAATTCTTTAGAACTCTCTTCTTTGGAAGGAAAGCACATATTTTCAGTTATGTTTTAAAATGTTTAAATTCTTAGTCAATGTTCTAATTATAAAAGCAGAGTTTATTTCCCGAGGAAATTTTAAAATGTCATTTATTAGTTTTAATTCACTGATTTGAACTGATAGAGTGTTATTAATGTCACAGTCAATGATCAGTAACAGACATTAGAATCATTAGTCAAAAAGTAAGTGTTTCATTGTAAATAACATTTTTTAGAAGACTTCAGAGTCATATCTATTCTGAGTTCCAGTTTGGATTTATAAGTTGTGCATCCTTGAGTGGACTATTAATATCCAGGAAATGTTGCTGTAATCATTGATGTGCCTCTTATGAAACCATCAACAGAGGAATGGATAAAGAAAATGTGGCATATATACACAAAGTAATTTTACTCAGCCCTAAAGAAGAATGAAATTATAGCATTTTCTTGTCAATGGATAGAAATGAACAACATCATGCTAATTGAAATAAGTTCAATTGGAAAAAGTCAAAGTTCAAATGCTTTTTCTCATATGTGGAGTTGGACCAAAATGAAGGGAAAGGGAGGGAAATCTCATAAAAATAGAAGGAAAATAAGTTGAGTAGAAGAATAGAATTGATGGGAAAAGAGGAGGGATGGGAAAGTAGTGGAATCATGGAATGGAATTGACCAAATTATTCTATGCTCATATAAAAATATACAATAGCAAATTTTGCCTTTATGTATATCTATAAAGCACTGATGTGTGTGTGTGTGTGTGTGTGTGTGTGTGTGTGTGCGCGCATGCTTTCCTTCCATAGAAGAGAGTTCTAAAGAATTGGAAGTTATTTGATTCCAATCTGTAAAATGTGTTAACTGATCACACTAAATGTTTAAGCTGTTTGATACTTTGTGTCTTCACACAAACACACACACACACACACATATATATATGTCTCTCTGTGTGTATATACATATGTATATACATATACACACATATGTAGTGTGTGTGTGTGTGTGTGTGTATATATATATATATATATATATATATATATATATATAGTACATACATATATATGACCAGCAGAAAAGAGGGAGGAGATTAGGGGGAAAGAGGAGTGGATAAAAAGAGAAAGTACTGGGGATCAATGTGGAATTATAGAATTATTTTCATGCTGGTATAATTATGTCAAAATAAACTCTAGTAATATGTATAGTTATACACTAGTAAAAACAAAAAATATCCAGGAAGCTTTTTCATTAGGCAAATGGCCATAGTGATGTCAAAGTGAGAAAGTTATAGTGCCATTAAATAAATAACTGAATGTGATAAGGTCTAGCATGATACAGAATGGATTCTCAGTAGATCCTATTATTGCTATTAATATTATTGTTATTATTTACATAAAATTAAGAATATAGCAAAAGAACATGCATTGTCATTTGGAAGTTGTTTATTAGAATAATATTTGCTTGACATGTAAGAAATATTTGCTGTATATCAGATTCTGTCCTCATACATAATAATAGTATAAGGATGAATATGAATAAATGTATTTAAATGTAACAGGTTCAGAAAATTTGCTTTAAGCAGAGCTAGAGAAAAATTATTGAGGACAGATATGTATATTATGGGCAAACCATGGGTGAGAAAGTGAACAAAGAACACTGAATTTTTTAAAAGTGATATCCAATAAGATTTTTTTAGTTCCAGTAAATATTACTCTCCAACTTAACCTCTCAATACCACTTCATTGAAATGAAGAAGAATTTATGTGATTTTTTAATACAGTTTTTTTATATTTATATGTTGTTAGCTCCTCCTTCTTAAGTTAGTTTATGAAATGTAATCTGGAAGCCATCTGAGTTGCATTTCTTAGCTGTATATCTGAAGCTAACAGCTCTCTAGATGTGAGACATTCACACTGTGCTCCAGGACATGTTTAACATAATAATATAACAAATACTTTTAATGTCAGAAAAGCTCTGTTTAAAAAGTCATGAGCTAAGATTGTCATTCTGCAATACCTGTATGTTTTCTATCTTAGCTGAATTTAAATGTCAGCCAGGCCGGTTTCAGTGTGGAACTGGACTCTGTGCTCTGCCCGCTTTCATCTGTGATGGAGAAAATGACTGTGGAGACAATTCTGATGAACTCAACTGTGGTAGGTTATAAAATTCCTACGGAACGAAAACCTCATCCCTAACAGATTATGTATTTGCTGGTTTAAATTCAGACATAGATCTCAGGTCAGATTTTTTATTCTCTCTGTTTTAGACACACATGTCTGCTTGTCAGGTCAATTCAAGTGCACCAAGAACCAGAAATGCATCCCAATCAACCTTAGATGCAATGGGCAGGATGACTGTGGTGATGAGGAAGACGAAAGAGACTGTCGTAAGTTGACACCGATTGTTCATTCTTGCCTTACTTTTGATTCCCAACTGAAATTGGTCTAAAAATTATTATTCATCATAAAATCATATAGTGTAGAAAAATAAGACAGTGACTATGTTCAAATAGTTGTTACTAGGTGCCTATGGGATGGGTTATTTATGATGCTGTAATCAAAAATTGTAGAGAAAATTAAAACATGGTGATCTTTACTTTAAAATCTACCTGGAGATTAAGAGAGAAATGAATGACATCTCTCATCTACATCATCCTGAAGTGAAGCATCAAAAACAGCATTGCATTTTTATTGCCCATGTTAAATAGATACACGTAATTTTCTTCTTTGATTTGGATACTTGAAATTAACTCAATTTTAGTTCAAGATTCCATGAAACATGTATTGAATCTATGATAAAGTATATAATATCTAAGCAAAATAAGCTAAGAAAATTCCTTTTAAAAATATGTATATAAATGTTCCATTTAATAAATCTTAACAGGTTATTTGAAAGAATTATGGTAAAAATATATTTTATTCTGTTCACTATTTATTTCAAAAATCAAACTACTTTAAATGGAAGGCAAAGAGTTTACAACAAATGCAGAGATGCATGTAAACAGGCATGCACTTGCATACACACACACACACACACACACACACACACACACACACACACAGGATCTAAGGGATAGAGCACCTGTCAGGTTTTAGGTTTTCAACCAAACTACTGTCAACATTTCTGTCTTGCAGAAGTTTTATATTATTCCTCTAAAACTTTTATCAGTGAATAATGTGCAGTCATCCAGCAATTTGATTAAGATGGTGCATTCAGAATAAAGTCAGTACAAGTTCTTTATGGTTAGCCATTCTGGAAGCTGAACCATTAAACTGAGTAGGATTTGTGATGCAGTTTATAGTCTAAATCGGATGTTCACCACTTCCTTCAAAACTCAACACAACTTCTGAAGACTTTGATTGAATTTCATGATTTTTGTTCACTCATTCATGTAATGTCCTCCAGTTTGTTTCTTTTCAATGGATTAAGTTCATAAATTAATATAAATTATTAAATTAATCTGGAAAATATTTTGAAAAAACTAAATTATTGATTTTTAAATTAATTTTTACAAACATCTAATCAAATGTTTTATTGAGAATTCTGATTTTTAATCAATGTATCATTGCAGAAATATGTTTTTCCTTTTTTTGTACTAGAAAGAATATTAGAAACACATAGGTATTTGACATCCATCACTTTCAGAACATGACTAATGAACAGATAATATATTTTTGATGAATTGCCTTAAACATTGGTGTAATTGTTTTTTATATAAAAAAATAGTCTCTTCTTCTTCAAAGCTACATGTTAATAGATGTTTCTTTTCTTAAGCTGAAAACAGCTGTTCTCCTGACTATTTCCAATGTAAAACTACCAAACACTGCATTTCCAAGCTGTGGGTTTGTGATGAGGACCCGGACTGTGCAGATGCATCAGATGAAGCCAATTGTGGTGAGTGTTTTGTGAAGGCATACCTCACCTATTTGTATTTGTGTCAGCATCTGACATGGTCACAGCAAAACAAATACGAACATGATTCAAAGAGACTAAGGTCTTCCATGAGAAAATTTTGTCTCCTAGTGATATAACAACTTAGCTGTTTTTAAAAATAGAGAGGGGTAAGACGAATAAGTATTTTTTAGTATAACTCAAAACTACTTGTAACAGTCAAATTTAAAAAGTGAAGTAAGATTCTCATCTTCCTATACTCAAGTGTGGACATGATATTAAAATTTAGTAACTAGAACAAGAAAATGGCATTTTCAAATGATTCTAGAATTCATTTCTCTGCTTAAATCCATTAATTCCCCATTGATTCGTTGATTGTTATTCTTCATTTTTAAACATAGTGAAGACAAAGGAAGAAAGCTTTAAGCATGTTTTAATGGAAGTGATTACTTAAGATGGCATTTATTTTTCAAACATCAACAGTTTCATAAAAAAATATTTTACTTACAATATTTCTGAATTAACATTGCCAGAAATGGAGATCACATAGTTTTGTTGAATGCATTTTATTCCATTTTGAAAGTGTCAAGAATGAAATTGAAATGAGTAGTTCCTATGTGTAACTCATTTAATCAATGTTTATTAAAACTTACTGGAGCTTATTTTATAGGCAAATGTGCCAACTTCTCATTTTTAGAGATAAGAATGTATTTAGTCCAGTAATTGATTAAAAAAGACAAAATTTGTCCAAATTATACACAGAACTTTCTGGCTGCATGGTCAAAATTGTATAAATGCATTTGCTTGATTTCCACACTATTCTCATTTAATTTTTATGGCGGAACTGGAAATAATGAAAAGCTTTAGGTGCTCTAAAATTCCATTTATATTGAATAACACTTATAAGCTACATATGTAATCACTGGCAATAATAACATGTCTCTAAGTTATTTTCCTAATTCTGCCTTTAGTATAATTGTGTCTTTGGAATATGTAATCCTTATAACTTATGACAGTATTATAAAATTGCCATTGACCATTCTGTGTAATTGATCTTCACATTTAATTCACAAACACTGAAATTGCATATCATCACAAGTTTTTCTATAATAATTATTAAGGATTTTAGTAGGTTGGTTTATGTTACTGGCTAGTTTGTCTTGTTGTCTTTTACATTTTTGTTTATCATGGAAAAGTGGAATAATGACATTAATTTTGAATAACTTTTTTGGCTAAAATGCTATTTCTATATTTCTGTATTTTATCCTCCTCTCTTTGGTATGATTTAACTGTTTTTGTTAGCTTATATTGCTGAAATCAATTTTGATCCATCATCTTAATTAATGGTAATGCTGAATACTTATTTGTTGTATAGGCCAGGAAATGTTACAGACTTTACATGATTATCTCTCTTTTCTCTTTATTATCTTTATTTTACTCATAAAAAAGTGAATGAAGCACTGGAGCTTTGGGTAACTTGCCCAAAGTACCACAGCTACCATGTGGTAAACTTGGCCCTGAATCTAGGGTTGTTTGACACTGACACATCTGCTTTGAACCTCTTGTGGACATAAGAATAAATATACCTCATTCTTCCTATATAAAGAGAAAAAAAATATTTAGGTACTTTTAATAATGTCATTATATGGGACTCTAACAGTCACAAATACTGGTATAATTTTGAGACCAGAATATACACACATATATATTCACAGAGGCAGGTAGGGCAGAAGTGCTGCTATTTGATTAGTCTTAAACTCACCATAAAATTTCATGGTTGGTAAATGCTAAGTTAATTTCATGAAACTTCTTTATGTCATATTTTAGCATGGCATTTCACATTCCTCATTTTCTATTTTTAGTTTTTTTTTTATTATTTTCAGTATTGGGAATTGTACCCAGGGTACTTAATCATTGAATCACATGCTCAGCCCTTTAAAAATTTATTTATATATATATTTTTATCTTGAGACAGGGTCTCACTAAGGTGCTTAGGGCCTCGCCAAGTTGCTGAGGTTATCCTTGAACTTGTAATCCTCCTGCCATGGTTTTTGGGACTATAGGGGTGTGCCATCATATTATTATTTTAATTATATAAATTTGTGGGATGCAGGGTGATAATTAAATATTCATACACAGTGCCCAATGACCAAATAAGGAAAGTTAACATATCTATCTCCTAAATTATGTGCAATCAGCCATTTTTTAAAGCTACTTTCCCCACCCAACCCCCTTTTTAATTTTGAGATGGGGTCCCCCTAATTTTCTAGGCTATCCTTGAACTTAGCTATTCTACTGTCTCGTTCTCCCAAGTTGCTGGGATTACTGATATGCACCACTGCACTCAACTTCTTTTCAATTTTGGATTAATATGTAATGATTGTATACATTAATAAGGTACTGTGTAATATTTCAATACATGCATAGAATACATACTGATCAAATCAGGATGATTAACACTTTCATTCCCCTAATAAGTACATTGTATTTGAACACTTCAAGTGTCTCTCTTCTAGTTATTCATAAAATGCAATTTTGAACTCTAGGCACCTACTGTGTTGTAGAATGCTAGAACTTATTACTTCTATCTAACTGTGTTTTGGTACCTGTTATCTAACTTCCCTTTATCTCTCCTCCTACCTTCCCTTTCTATCCTGTCATAGTCAAAAAATCCTAATATTTAAAGAGGATAAGAAACCACCTCTTTTTTTAATAAAAATAAATATGTCACATATTTATGCAAATTATATAACTACACTATGGGATTTGGATGCTTTTTCTTTGAGGATTTCATTGCGTGAGAAATAGATATATGTTTTAAAGGTTAACTCTACCATTCGAAGGTCTTATTGTTTGAGGCAGTCATATGTGCTTCTTTGTGAGGAGCTTCTCTAGAAAATGCAATGTGTTTTGCTATTTCATCATGTTTGATCCATGTTCTCAGGTCCCAGCAGTGTATAGATTAGACTTGTGTTAAGTGTCTGTTGAATGATTAGTCTCTTCTCTATTGAAAAACCTCGATTTGCAATCCATTTTCATTTTAGTTTCCTTCCTTACTTTTGTAGTCCAGTGCAAATTTAGAGCGTGATTCCCTATAAACCTGTACAGTATAGCACTCTAGAAATTCACCTAGAGCTTCCTTCTTATTTCTCAGCACCAGTAGTTACATTTATGTATCATTATGTTTGATTGTATTGATTTGAAAATGCACTTAATAACATCCTAAAGAATCATCTCTCAGCCCAGCTTTGGACTTATTACTTGGTATGTAAGTGTCACTGGAGTTTGTGTGGTTGATAATCTAATTTTGCAACTTTTAAAAATGATTATATGGCTCTTGTTGTTCCTTTAAATATATGATGTGTGTGTGCACACCATCATTGTTCCTTTAAAAGAAAGATCTTTGTAAAATAATCATTTAACTTCTGATACATTTCTATATTTTTAAAGTAGTAATAATAAGAATAAATTATTTTATTTTTTTCTAAAAAACAATAATGTGGAGAAATTACTTTCTATATGCAAGTAAGCTGCTGTTAATTCACTAATATATTTTACAGTATTATCTTGCTACATTTCATGGTAAAATTTTTAATATTATGCTTTTTTCTCACTGTTGGCTCTGCAAAATGTAATATTTTCTCCTTTTTCTTTCAATGATGTTTCTTTGTGTGATTGTATTTGTGTGTGTGTGTGAGAGAGAAGGAGAGTAAAGCAACACTTATGTTGAAATATTTTGGTTCCAATAGAGTCTTTCAAGGATTGCCTGGCAGTATGAATGGAACCAGGAAATTTCCTTCTAGCTTTCATACAAAAAAATGAATGGCCTATATGTGAATTATTAACTAGTCTAAGTTGAATACAACACTCTTGTTTTTAGCTTTCATGCTTTTATTTCTGGAACTTTCATACATCAACTATCTCCACCAAAAGGATGTGCAATTATTTGTTGATGTCTTATTATTTGTTGATGTCTTTTTATTTATTTTTTCCTCTTAACAATATAAGAAAATGGTGAGATTTAATTTTTTTGCACAAAACTAACAAGGAGCCCACACAATGATTCTGAAGGCATGCCAAATATTCTAGTCTCTGGAAATATCCATAGTAAAAGCCATGAGAGGAAATAGCTTTTTGTTCACTAGGGATTAAAATTGAGTTCACAAAGAACCCAATTTGATTTAATAAGAAAGCTGGTTGAAGCAGTTGAAATTTCAAAAAGACATTGAATCAGAAATTTAACATTCTGTTATATTTTTCTTTGAAAAACTTTATCTTTGTCATACTGCCTTCTCAAACTTTGCCAAGTTTATTTGATTCTCTAGATAGACAGACAGACAGACACACACACACACAAATACACACTTCTCTCTCTCTCACACACACACACACATATCTAGCTGGAGATTCAAAGTAGTATGTGAAACAAATAAGAATCTGACACTTTATGGAAAAAGAACAGAAAAGAAATGAGCAAGAAATGTAGAAATTTAAAACATTTTCCTCCTAGGCCTACTTTTGGAAAAACACTAGTTATCTTTGTTTTGATTTATAAATTTTTGGGATATAAGAGTCTATTCATGTATCCTTTGGGCTGAGATTTCCATGGAGAATATTCTACCGTTTGTATTCTCAGATATTATTCAATTTTGCTTAATGCCATGCTTGTGTAATTAAGTTGCATGCTAGTGAAAAAAATAATTAGAATGAAGGATTATATTGTCTTTATTCAGCACCAACACATGGTATTCCATCTATGTGTAGTGTGGAAAGCTTGATTTTAAAAAATCCTATTAAAAGAAAGTTAGATTTGTGCTTATCAGTTAAAATCAATTTGTTATGTTTCATTTATGAGAAACTATCCATTTTAATCCATTAATACTTCAGGACTTAATATAATAATGAGAAAAAAACATTATTTTAGAAAGTTCTAACTTTATCATGTATTGGCTTTGTGATCTCTGTATACTTAACAGATATTTTATAGATAGGTAATGATTCTGTTGTTTAATCAGCCTTAAATTTATTGCCTAGGATGCATGTACACTGGGCTAGATTTTTAATGTTGAAGTCACCGTATAAATGTTCAATGACCATGTGAAAACACAATGGAAGAAATGATGTAGGATTTACTTTGAGGTAAATCTGCCACTTCTTTCTCAATTTTAGATATATTAGTAAGTTAGTGTTTATTCTTAATGTGATCTAAAATTTTAACCTTATAATTAACATTCTTGTTTCTCCAAATATCTGCATATTGAAAAACTATCTACAAAATTTTCCATGAGGAATCTCTTTTGACCCAAAGTAGAAGTGACATGAAAAGTATTATTTAGGAGTCAGAGAAATAGAAAAGAGATCTTTCTGTGAAGTGAGGTTTATCACTCCTGTGAATCATATTATCTGTTTCAGTCAGCTTTTGCCTCACTGTAACCTAAATGCCTGACAAGAATAAGTTGGAGAAGCAAAAGTTCGTTTGCACTTGATGGTTTCAGAGGTCTTAGTCTATAGGTGGCCAACTCTATTACTCTGGGTCCAAGGTGAGGCATCAGGGTTCAAAGACATGGCAGAGGGTAGCTGATTAAGACATAGCAGCAAGAAAGCACAGAGAAAGCATGAGGAGGGAGAAGAGCCACAGGCAGAGATAACCTTCCAGGGAATGTTCCCAGTGACCCACCTCCTCCAACCATGCCCACCTGCCTACCAATATCACCTAGTCAGTCCTTTCAAACTAAGATGAACTGATTAGGTTACAGTTCTCACAATCCAATCATTTCACCTCTGAATATTTCTGCAGAAACACAGGAGTTTTGGGTCTTTGTAATGTTCAAGACTTCATATCTAAACTATAACACTATCCATATTGTTTTCTTTTTGATTCTATACCCTAAGATGACCACATACACCAAGTATATACATATTCCTTTTTGGTATAGATACTAGATTTTGACCTATATTTAAGAAAAGCCAGAAGAAATGTAAAATGATATTATTTGTTAAAGTTCATATTATTCTAGTACATTTTCCAAAGTATCTTTTTGATAGCCTGTGAATTATGTGAACTATATTTTCCTAGGGTAATCAAATCTGTTAGTTAAGTTCAATTATTGATATTAATTCTGAATTTATAGCTACATAATATCTGTATATCTACAATAGTATTTTAGCAATCATTTGTTGGAATTTCAATATAAAATTAAAGTAAATGGTTATTAATTTATTATAGCTTATTAAAATCAATTATTCAGGAATTTAGTGTTTTAATAATTTATATTTAAATTTGAGTGGTAGACAGTCAAATTTCCATATCAGAATTCTGGGAACTTGTGTTTAGATCATAAATTCTTTTCACACAATTTTGATTAAATGAGCTGTCGCCCCTGTAATAATACATAACCTGTTTGAATTTTTTGAAGACATATCTGAACTTTAATCCAATTCTTTTATTATCAAGTAAATTATAGTGGGAATAACTTCTTATATGATTTAATAGTATTGTATGGCTTTACAATCTTTATTTGTACATTTTTATTAGATTAAATATTTTAAATCAAATATGGAATTTGTTTATATATTATTCATAATTAGCTTCTGAATCCCCAAAACAAGATGTAATGAGAGACTATCCACAATGTTATCTAATTCTAATTAATCAAAGTTGTGTTTCATCAAATCATGCAGTTCTGTCAGTTAACAATCTTGCCTATATATCAGGAAGTTACATACCTTTTTAGACATTTCTATGGTTTCTTTAAAATGTCCACAGATGATATATGGGGTACTGCTTGGTGAATACACATTCTAGAACTTCTGAGGAAGAACATTCAGTTGCTGGAATTGGCATACACCCAGTCTGATTGTGACGGCTGCTCCAAGAGGAGTCTTTGGAATTACTTCCCAGTTCGTTTGTGTGGTCTTTGTAATGTTCAAGACCAAAAGATTGATAACTAAACAGTAATCAGAAAAAAAACCCATTGGTTAATTATCAAGAATCATGCAAGTATAGGAAACTATTTTCACTAATCGTAAATCACTTTACCAACTTCCCATTCTGATAATTCAGTTGAGTCAGGAAGGATAGTGACAATTGAATGAGGAAAGGATATTTAATTGAATCAAAGTGAAGAAATTTGAGAGTTACTAACATATGATATATGCAAAAGTGTACCTGTACTAATTTAGGATATACCGTGTCCTTTTCTAGAATGCCTAAAAAAATAATTGCAGTTTAGTTTTGCAACATTTTTTAAAAATTAACATTGGGAATATATATTTTTAAATCCAGTATTATAAATAAAGAATTGAAAAACTATTCACATAGTTATACTTCAAGAGACCTTACGCCAATGTTTTTTCTTCCTAAACAGAGGAAAACACCGGGCACTTTAAATTTCTTAGACACCATCACTCCATTCTACAACATTGAGCCCTGTTTATATTTTCCATTTCCCTTAAATACTTTACATATTTGATTAATATTATTATCTTTATGATATTCATTTTTTGGAGAAATCTATAAACACATGTGGAAATATTAAGTAACCCATTTATGTTAATGTTATGAAATTTAAAGTATTTCAATAATAGGTATAAATAATCGTTTGAAAAACATCATGTCGGGAGGCTGATATGAGTTCAAAGCCAGCCCCAGCAACTGATCAAGACTCTCTTTCAAAATAAAACATAAAAAGGGCTGGGGATGTGGCACAGTAGTAAAGCACCCCTGTGTTCAATCCCTAGCACAAAAAACAAATAAACAAATATCCAAACATCATGTGCTGGGCATTGTGCGAAGTATATTATGTGGATTATATCATTTAATCTTCACAATGAATTTATGAGCGGTAAACTGTTAGTATCCCTATTTTATAGGTTGAGATGTAAGACTCAGGAACTGTAAATACATTTGTTATTGTCATTCAAGTGGAGAATGAGCAAGTATTTGAATCCATGAGATTTGGCCCCATGCCCATATTCTTAACCGTTATTCTCAAAACACTTCCTTGATCTGCAATAGTTTGCAGAGAAACAGATAAACATGATCCTTACATAAATGGAATAATAAAATGTCAAGAAAAATGCAAATTTAAATATTTTTTTAAAAATCCTAATACTTGTAAATCATGGTGAGTAAGCAAGAGTAAGAATGGCAATATAAGGATATATTGCATGTAGGTATTTTGAAAGCAATAATAAACCAACTGAAGTTCACTCTGCTTTCTCTTATTACTATTCATCAGTGGGAAATTCTAAACAAGTCAGCTATAGAATTCCCCTCCCTGCAAGAACACACCAGTGATTGTGACCTGAAAAGGAAATCTAGTAGTTTGCCCTAAAGGTAAAAAAAATCAAGTACAATGAGCAAATTTGTTATTAAATCTCATTTTGGAACATTTTTATTTTTACACTGACATTTTAAAGTTCAGAGTTATTAGTGAGTGTTAGAGAAGCCCTCTCTATCCACAACAAACTTTTTATAATCATGCAACTAGAAAGAATGAAAGAGTATTGAATAGGACGTAACTTCTCACCAGCCATTCTGTTATCCAGCATGATGTTCACACACAGTTTAACTCTCTGGTGTGGGATCCCCAGCTTGCAATTCTGAATCACCTGTGCCACTCTTGGAAAACATTGTCCTCCTCTATGGGGACCATGACAGCAACACACTTACTGTACCGGGAGTTCACTTCCTCCAACATGCTATGACTGCCTCAGTTTATATTATCTTTTGACACTGCAACATTGGAGAAATGGTCTTTCTTTTAAAATGTCTATAACTTTTGTTCACGGGTATGTTTCATAAATGTTCATGAATTTCCTAAGAGTATGGGAAAGTTCAATTAAGAAAGGTCACTTGGAATTTTGTATGATAAATTTAGGCCATAGTTATATTATAAATCCAGAGACAAATTTAAACATCACATATAAAATTAACTTTCATAAAGGCAGGATTAAATCTATTCCACAGTCAGTGAGAGTCTTCATTCATTCTGTTTCTGACAATGGCTCTATAGGTTTACTCATATATTTATTTTAAAGAATGAGTAGTGTTAGTTCATATAAATGTATTCGTCTCCTTCAAAACTTGATAAGGCTGTAAATTAATCCACATATTTTTTTCTTGTTTTTAAAATCTGTATTTTTTTTGACTTGAAAATTTTTTATAGAATTCTGACTGGACCAAACTATCTATGCCATATGATGTTTTTCAAGAAGTTCTTTCAATCTAATCAGTTCTCATTTTTTTTTACTTTAAAATTAAAAGTCCTGGTATAGAATTTTGTGATGCACATGTTCCAGATATTCTCAAAACAATTAGTCTTCTGGGATAACCATCTACAGGGTGAAACTTTAAGGATATATATATATATATTTGTGTGTGTGTGTGTGTGTGTGTGTGTGTGTGAGAGAGAGAGAGAGAGAGAGAGAGAGAGAGAGACATGGTAGAAGTTTAGGAGTAAATATTCTTGATTTCCTGAATAAATAAACACACACATATTGTAATTTAGAAATCAGGTATGTGTGTATGTGTGTGTGTGTGTGTGTGTGTGTGTGTGTGTGTGTGTGTGTGTTAAGTACATACCAGCAGTATTTTTAGGGAATGGAGACCTTTCTAAAACTCTAACTTTATATTAAAGAACTGTAATAATGCTTTTAAAACAATTGCCTGAACAATGTTCTTTTTCGAAAGTTTCATATAATCTAAATAAATAGTAAACAATACTAAGGATTTATTAGTAGAGAGAAACAATTCTAGAATTATTACTGTAAATTAGCCTTATCATTATTGGATGAATAAATGATCACTAAATAGTTTAAAATATGAATAGCTACTGACAATAGAATATTTGAATATATCTTCATCCTGATATTACTCTTAACCTACTTCCAAAAACCTTACCATTCTGAGGAAAGCTTAGTAACACTGTGCCTTGTTCCAAGTTTTTGAAAGGTTTAATAATAAGAAAGCATTTCTTTTACTTTTTCTCATATTATGGAACTTGGTAATTGACCAGTGAGATTGAATTGTCCATATCTTTTTTTTTTGGAAGATGCAGTTAAGTTTTGGCACCAAATGCTTTATTTGTTGGCACTGAAACAAATGCAAGAAATTAACATGCTAAAAAATTCTAGTTTAGAATAATTAAGCCCAAAGTAATTACATGTGACTTCATTGGCAAAAGGTTATGACTAACATCCAGAAGCTATTGGTGTGGGGTGAGGGGGTGGTAGTGCCAAACTTAAATTCCAGGGCTTTTTTTGTACCATTCAGTTTTCACAGCTGGAATTTACTGCTTCTTGATAGTGCAAAATTATCCATCCACTTAGTTTCATTTTTTGGCACTGTGCTATGACTCAGTAATTTTCAGCATCTTACTGACAGATGGAAAGTGTTCACTAACAATGTTGTTGAATTAACATGGAATGTATTTCTAAGTCACAATAAAAGAAAGGACTGAAAATGTCTACTCCACTCAGTGCCATCTACAATGCATAAATTGTTTTAAAGTTCAATGAATTTTAGTGTGGAAAGGGTCTTCAATATCACCAGGTTAAAGTGAAGCTACATCTCCCATACCCAATCTGAATAAACAAAGAACACTCCTTTGAATATAAATAAACTCATCATTCTATAAATTAGGGCTGATTTCTTCTTTTTGTTCTTTTGAACCAAAATTGTGAATTACCTAACGCTAATGTTTGTGAAAAAAATGTCTCATTTAAAAGGTCTCAAACTAAATTCCTTCACCACTTTTCTCCAGGCACAAGAGTTATAATTTCCATCCTATATTCACCTTTGTATATCTGCCTTGAAACCTTCCAAATTTCTGCGCTTTGGTTATGCTCTACTGGAAGGAATTCGAGACTTTTGGTCAGATGATATGCTGATTATGTCAGCATTCTCTATTGATATAAGCCTTCATTTGTTTTGAAGCAAATAAAACAGTTGTTCACACTATTTATTCCTGGCCTACTTATATGACTCCCTCTTCAAATTTCAGAGATTTTCTATAGATTCTGCCAAATCATATATTTATATATTTATATCTTGTGATCTAATGAAGTTTATTGTCTCCCTTATCACATTACAAGTTCCAGAGATGAATTCTATATATCTTCTACTTCCTAATATATTATGTAGTACCTAATACAGAATCTGTCGCAAATAAATATTTAAGGAATGAGTGAAGGAAAGAAATAAAAGACGGTACATATTTTAGTTGGTTCAGCCAAATGGGTATTTGTCTCTTATATCCATGTTGGAACTCTAGTTTCCATTTTTGTATTTTTATGTTTTCTTTATTGTTTTATTTTTATGTAATCACTTCCCCCACCAATCACTTCAACAGTGTGGTCTTGATTAGTGTGAAAAATTGACTTAAATTATAAGGTGCAGAATCACTAACATTCTGTCAACCCTATTGGAGATGTGCCTCTTCACTTGCAGGAAGGCAAATGTGCTGTGTCAGAACATTAGGGAGGTTTATGAAGTATTTCTAAACTCTGAAGCTATCTACAACAGAGCTTTATTCTTTATTAAAACACTTATTAGGTAGAATTTTTTTCTGATCACTATTATTTCTTCATTTGTAAATGGTTGTAATGTACTTTGTCTTAGAAAGCTGATGAGAGAGATTTATATGAATGTATAGCACAAAGTAGATCCTCAAGAAATATCTTTTGTCCCTTGTATGAGTACCTGTTTGCCCAATAATTAGAATTGCTATGGGCTAAAACACCCAGTTATTCATCTTGTAATGGATAATGAGTGGGATACATTGGTACACACCTGTA